AAAAGAAAAGAAAAGAAAGAAAAAGAAAAGAAAAAATCACTTTTCAACCGAAAAAAAAACCGAATTCAATATCATCATAATCATTTCAGCTTATCAACCAATCAACCAATCAACCAATCAACCAATCAACCAATCAACCAATCAATCAATCAACGAATGAATGAATGAATGATCCAAACCCGTTAGATATCAATCATACACATACACGTATACACGTATACACCTACACCTACACCTACACCTACACCTACACCCATACCCATCCCTGAAGGATCCATCCTCCGGCCAAATAAAAAAGAAAGAAAAGAAGAAAAAAAAAGAGAGAGACACAAGATGGATATAAGAGGCAGTAAAAGTAGTGTATCTGTCATCGCCCCCTACCCTTATCCCTGTCCCGATCCCTATCCCTATCCATCCCATCCTATCCCCCAGGGGGAGAAAAAAAGAAGACCCTTAGAACAGTTGTTGGGGAAGACCAACCAACACAGCATCCAGAACGCCGCCCGTAAAGTAAGTGGTCCTGCCTACATCCAGCCCTAGTGTAGTGAAGTGAGCCGAAGTCGCATATCGCCCAGCCCAGCCCAGCCCAGATCAGATCAGCTCAAGCTGAGCTTAGCTTATCGCGGAGGCCTGATCCCTGATCCATATATCGCATCATCCTACCTCGCTCCACTCACAGGCCAGCGGGTACCGAAGCAGTGGCTTCAAAAATCTCCTTCACACCGGAATCCTGTCCTTGCCCTCCTTCGCCACAAGCTCCTTCTCACTCGAGCTCACCCCCCCCACGCTGCTACCCGGGCTCCCCGTAACGCTGCTCAGCTCGCCCGCAACGACAGTCTCGCCGCCCTTTTTCGACCTTGACGCATCCTCCTCAGCATCAAGTCGTTTCCGCCACTCACTCAAACTACTGCTCAGCCCCTCCCCCACAGTTCCCAAGCCGCTTGCACTAGCAGGGCTGCGATCCTCGAAATCGAACGCATTACTGAGACGGTAGCTTTTGTTCGTGTTCTCCCAGTGCGAGCGCAGTGTCTCGAGCTCCGTCGCGAGACTGTCCAGTGCCATCGAACTTCGGTTGCCACCATCGTAGACCGAGGATTCAGAGATGGAGTCGGTGGCGCTGATCGTGCGCTGGTGTGTACTGCTCGCAGCTGTTATCGGAGCCCCGTTGGTCTCAACTGGGCGGGACTGGCGGCGGTAGTTGTCGACCGAGGACTCGACCTGGTCAAGCAGGAGAGAGACTTTGTTCTCCGCATCCAGAGCGCGGCGCTCGAGTTGAGTGTTCTCTTCCTGCAGCTGGGCGAGGTCGGAGCGGGCTTGCTCGGTCGCAGCGTTGAGTTGACGTTGCGACTGCTCGTGGGTTTCCTTCAGCTGGTCACGCTCTTCTTGAGATGCGGCCAACTCCTTCTTGACGTCGGCCATTTGTCGTTCCAAGAGACTAACCGAGGTTTTGATCTCGGCCTGTAAGGTCTCGATCTGCCTAGTGAGAGAAGCGCGCTCCGCGTCCCATCCGCTCGAGGCATCTTGTGATGCCCCCCTCTTCTCCTCGGACTTGGCGAGGTGCTCCTTCAGGCCCGTGTTTTCGGACTTGTATTTCGACAATTCGTCCTTCATACGCTTAAGCATCTTCTCCGTGCCCTTGACGTAGTGAACGGCAGATTGGTAGTCGTTCTCGAGTAGACTTAGCTTCTCCCGATAGGTGGCCTCGGTTTCTGAATGCTGAGCTTCGTAAGTCTGCTTCGTCTCCTCGTGAGCCTGGACGCTAGCCGCCAACTGGTGTTCCAACTCGCGCAGACGTGAGAGATCCGGCGTGTTGGAGCCAGACTGAGGACTGGGGAGCCCACGAGCTCGTGCAGAATTGATCGGGCTCATGCCTCGCTCGCCAAGAATATCCTTGAGGGTGTTGTGCTGAACGTGGACAGCATTCGTCTCCAGTTGCTGGTTGGCAAGCTGGTACTTCATGTCCGAGTTCTTGGCTTGAAGCGTTTGGACCTCACGCATCGTCGACTGAAGTTGCTTTCGAATCGACATGCCCTCTCGGCTGGCTTGCTCTTGGTACGCCTCGAGGCCAGCGATACGCTCCTCAGCGCTGCGGAGCTTCTCGGAAGCAGTATCCGCAGCCTCTTGGTACTTTCGGACCAGCAAGTTCGCCGACTGGACCTGTGCTTGAAGCGCGACCAAGCGATCGTCCTTGGTAGCAGCCTTGCCACCGACGTCCCGAGCGACAACCTTGCTGAGCCCAGCCATAACAGCTTCTCGATGAGTGCGTGCTTCGTGAGCATGTTGCTCCGCGAGCTCCTCGGCACCTCTCAGACGACGGGTGGCACTCTCCAGCTCCGCGGCCTGCGTCTCGTGTTCTGTCTTGAGGGTCGCAAGCTTGCCCTCGATCTTCTCCCGCTCGAGGCGCTCCTCATCCAACTTTCGCTGAAGGTTCTCTCTCATGTCCGCCGACGACGCGAGTGCTTCCCGAAGAGACTCAAAAGTGTCGCTGTCATCCTTTGTTGAGCCAATAGCCTCCTCGTATCGAGCCTCGAGCTCATCCTTCTCCGCTTGCAGCAATTGGACGGCTGCAACCGCTTCAGAGCAGACAATCGCCTCTTCTCTCGATGCCCTTTGAAACTCATGCAGCTCGGCCTTCAGACGTTCCACTTCCGACGAGTTCTGCTGCTTGTAACTCTCGAGCTCACTCATTCGTCCTTGTGCGGTATTCAAGGTGCTCTCCGCCAACTGGCGACCACGCTTCTCGGCTTCAAGCTCGGAGCTGATGGTTTCAATCGTGTTCTTGAGATCCCGCTGTTCAGCGAGGGCCGCCGCAAGCTTCTTGCTGACCTCTACAGACCTGTCCAGAGACATCGAGCCAAGATCGCGCGCGTCGGCATAAGGCTGAGGCGTACTGCTCTGACTACCGCTGTGCGCCGCAAGCCTGGCCTTGGCATACACAGCTTCACTCACAGCCGCATCTCTCTGCTTCTCGATCTCAGCAATCTTTTTAGCGGCAAGAATGGCTTGCTTGTCGATTGATACTTGGACATTGGCAAGCTCGCCTTTCATAGCAATCAGAGCTTCAATCAGCGGCCTGTCGTCATCGTCAAACGACTCTGCTGCTCTCTGATCGAGGAACGGACTCGAGGAGGGGTTTGGGGTGTACCCAGCTTTACGAGCCAGTTCGAGCTCGGAGGCATACCAAGCATTACGGTTCTTGGCCGCATCCAGTTCCTTCAGCAGAGCTACGGTTTGAGAATTCCGCTTCGAGCTTCTTCTGGTCAGACTCACACTGGGCTGCCGAGACGGAGGGGGCGATGCCTGGCGGGCATTTATGACATTCCGTAAAGAAGACTGCTCGCTAGTGCTGTCTAGCGAGCTCTGTTGACGGTGCGATCTGGATTTGGACGAGGCCCTGACCGTACCAGCACCAGCACCGGCGGTATTCATGCTCACAGGCGGGCCGTTCTCAGCAGATGATGCTGCTCTCGATATTTGGCCTTGGGGCTGTGTCTGCGTGGGTGTACGCCGCCCGTTAAAGACAGGGCTCTCTCGCGGCTGCGGGGACTCTCTCAAGGCAGGGGACGTAGTACGGGATTGGGCCGGCTGGATAATGTTTTCGACAGCACGATTCTGCGGTGGCTGTACGGACGGGTCAACCGATGGCCCGGATCCTCGCTCGGCTTTCCCCTGCGGCTTCCCACGCCCCGCCGCTGGTATTCCATTCGGTCCTATCTGTCCGTTCGCACTACTAGCTCTAGGATTTGGTGCTTGCTGTTGCGGTGGGGGGCCTGGAGCCGTTTGAGCCATCGAAGCTCGAGGGAGTTTAGATCCTCCTGGCTGGCCGTTCTGCTGCACCCCATTTGGGAAGCCTTGAGGTCCTGAAGGCCCGGTGGGCGCGCCTTGCGGTTGAGCTGACCCAGGAGCGACACCATTCATATCATTCCCGTTTACACCCGGCGCACCATTCCCTCGGCCATAGCCTTGATCCCTCGGTGCACCATTCAGTCTCTTCGACGGGTCGTGCATCGTCGATCCATCTCGAGAGCTGAGTCCACGACTGGCTCCCATACCAGACTTCTCGCTCATGCTCGGCCGTCGATGTCCCAGGCCTCTGTCGGAAGCGGGCGACGGCTGAATTGCCTGATCGTTCGGATACCGAATCTTACTGGTGTCCAGTAGGTAAACGATTCCCAGATCCCCAGCCTCTCTGGTCGCGGTGCTTGGCTCACCGGCTAACACCACGACCTGCTTGTTGAACGCCGTCATGCTATGTCCCGATCTCGGCGAGGGCGAAGGGCCCATATTTTGAAAGGTGTACCACCGCCTCGACGAGATTCTGAACGCCGCCAGATCTCCCAGGTCCGCGCCTTCTTCTGTCCGTCCTCCAAAGATATACATTACATCGTCGACAATAGCGGCTGCGTGGCCTTCCCGAGGAGCAGGTATGTATCCGATACAGTCGAGGGAAGTCCACATATTAGATAGTGGATCGTAGCACCAGACATCATTAAACCATTGGAAGCCATTGGTTCCTCCAAACCTGCGCGTGTCAGTTCTGCACCTACCTGTCAGACAAGGCTTCTTACAAATATAACTTTTCATTGAACGTGACAACCGAGTGATTCGTGCGCGCCGGGGGTATCTGGCCTTGTAGTGGTTCGCCATCCACGCTATTCCGGATGAGCATCTCCCACCTGTTTGTGGGGACCTGCAGTTGATTCAAATCGAACGCAACCAGGTCGTTCATGAAGAAGCCCTCCACCTGGCCTCCAAATACATAAATCTTGGACCCAAGAATGTTAAGCGAGTGGCCGTATCGTCCTGCCGGTCTTGGTCCCGCGGGGACTGCTCTCGACCATTGTCGCGTCGCTATTCCTATCAGCATGAGTGTCACCCCTGATCTAGTGAAACCTACAGGTATTCAGCAAGTAGAGCGTCTCGTCTAGCACATCTGAATCCTCCATCTTGGTATCTCCTCCATAGACAATAAACGCATTTCCGACTAGCAAACTCGCATGCCCTACTCTCGGCCCCGGGCCTTCAGCCGTCGTTGCTAGGGGGTAGCAAGCCATATTCCCACCGGCCTCAACCATCCACAGATCCCCCTTGACCGTCGAGCTGTTGATCAGACCGCCCATCAGGTAAATGTCGCCCTCCTTCGAGGCGATCGAGTTGACCGCGGCGCCATAGCGAGGAAAAGGGCTGGGATGGGAGGTGGTGTACGTGAGACGGCGCTGCGACCACGGGTATAGGGAGGCATTGGGATTGGCGTTCATGGAGGGCTGCTGGACAGCGGGCGCAGACATGTTCCGTAGCTAGATATGCGACCATTAGTACTCGATTTCCCCCCTTTCTCGGCTCGGCTCCGCTCCGAGCCAACAAACACTCCCTGGAGGTATGGCGGTCGCACTCACCAGAAGATCCGACGCAGGCTGCGGCTCCGCACTCTGCGGTCCCCGCGGGCCCTGTCTCGTGGTCGTAGTGGTGTTGTTATTGTTGCTCTGCTGGTCGGGAGTCGGCGTCGAGGTACCACCGCCCCCTTGCAGCGAGCTCATCGAGTTGTTCACACTGGCCGCCACCGTCGAGACGTGCACAGCGCCCTTCTCGTTCACGCGAGCATTGCTGTTGTTGGCTTGTTGCTGCGATGCTGGGGCAGCCTCCTTATTTGCTGATTGGGCCTTGTCCACATTCTTGTTCCTGCTCTTGAACAGGGAGAATGCCATGGTATCGGGTTGGTTGCCGTGCGGCGCACCGCCTTGGTTATGATATCGCCAGAGTGATTGATGTAGAGGAAGGTGTAGGGTGTCGTCGGTTGTGATTGAAGGGTGCAGTGGTAGATTTAGGGGAGAATTTCGAGGTTCTGCTTCTGGTCCTGTCGACGTCGTGTGACGGGAGCACGGCCGCAGGATTACCGGCTGTAGTTACGATAAGTAAGTATTGGTAGTGGTCTCGTTTCATTTATTGAGATCAGTTGGAATAGGAAATAGAAATGGAAATGGAAATAAAAACGGATGGCTGGGGTCGCCGTCGCAGCGCGGAAAGGGCGAACTGGAGAAAGTATACGACGCAAAGGGGGTTGGGTCGGAGTGGAGTGGGTAAAGTAAGTAAGTAAGTAGTAGCAAGTTCTTACTCACCGTAGTAAAAGTCGGGAGCGCACTTCAGTCCCGGTCCTGGAGGCTGGCCACTGGCCGCTGGCTGGAAGTTAGTTGGTAGATTGTGGCGGACCTGCAGAACGGCCCTGGTCGGGTCGGGTCTGGGATGCCGATGGAAACGGAGATGGAGATGGAGATGGAGATGAAGATGGAGATGGGACGGGGACGGGGACGGGAACATGGACGGGGACGGGGACGGGGACGGGGACGGGGACGGGGACGGGGACGGGGTCAGGGACAGGGTCGGGGAAGTTGGGAGTGGGAGTGGGAGTGGGAGTGGGAGTGGAAAAACAACCAAAAAAATGTTTTTGGTCGTTGATGCACAGGCCTGAAGGAGATCCGACGCATTAGTCTGGTGTAGATTGTCGAGCGAACGAGATGACTGGGGAAAGGGAAGATCTTTTCAAGGAGCTGGCCGGATAAGGGGGTGGGGGGGGGGGGGGATGGGGGATAGAAGAGGGCATTAAGGGAAGATTGAAGAGAAGTACTGACAGTTACTGTAAGGTACGGAGCAGAGAGACGGAAGTGGATATCGAAGTGGATAAGTATCGGGTAGTGTGCTTCTTAGCCGACGTCTACCTATGTACCTATGTACCTATGTACCTATGTACCTATGTAGCTATGTAGGTACGGAGAGAGTAGTAGGTACCGGTAGGTATTACGTCAAGGTGAGGTTGTTTATTTCCGTATTGACTTCACATCCCATACTTCACATCCAAATTATCCAAAGAAAAAGAACAGAAATCCTCGTGCAGACTTGCACATTATCAGTTACGTACATGTCTCTACCGGCCAAGTGCCAAGTGCCAGTTGCCGGTAGACTCTCCGTTGACCAACCCCCTACATACTACGTACTACGTAGGTCGGCATGCACGCTGACTGTTCGGCCGATCAGGCGTCCAAGAGCAAGGGCGTGTTTCAAGAGGGGAAAAGGGGAGGAGGGAGTTGGGGACGAGATTACCTCGGTCGGATGGCAGGATAGGTACCTAGCAGGATAGGTGGTAGATGCTTGCTTAGTTATCCGCATTGGTACTGACTACCTACGTACTATACGTACTACTAAGCAGGTACTACTACTACTACTACTACTACTACTAAGTAGGTACTACTAAGGTACTACTACCGTACTACTACCGTACTACTACCGTACTACTACCGTACTACCACTACTCTATCTGTTCAAGTCAGTCTGGAGTTCCCCGTTTCGTTCGAAAGAAGGTGTTACGTCGGTAGTACTCAGTACCAGTACCGGTACCGGTATCATACAGTAGCATAAGCTGCAGGCACCAAGACCCAAAGGAAGAGGGAGGAAAGGAAATAAAGGTGACAAAGGGGAGAGGAACAAGAAAGGGAAAACAAAGAAGACGAAGACGAAGCCGGGCAGGTGATCACCCGGATGGACATTGCCAGAGGAGCTGAGCTGCTACGTCAACCCGTCGCCCGTCAACCCGTCCACCCGTCTCTCCTCTCTCCTCTCTCCTCCACGACAACGATCGACAACGGTCGGCAGTCCCACTCGTGATGAGCATCCATATGTACGGATATCCATGCTTAGGCTTAGGCTTAGGCTTAGGCTTAGGCTTAGGAAAGACGAGATCAAAGTAATCTCTGCCTGGACTATGAAGAGAGCAATTCAGATAGAAGGAGAGCCCTCGATCCGGGCATCACCGCCGTGAAATATGCCTTCGGCATTCAGGGTCGAGGCTTGGATAATGATCGAGGAGTTACCGGAGCATTGGGAAGAAACAAACCACTTGACCCCAGCCCAGCCCAGCCCAGCCCAGCCCAGCCCAGCCCAGAAAGAGCCGCATCTCGTCTCGTGACCAGGGAGGAAGAAGAAAATCCCCCCCATCTGCCTGCTATCTGGGCCGGTGACGTACCACAGTGGTGGCCCAAAAGGAGGAGAATGAATTGAAGTGCCTGGCAACTCGTCTCGTCTGGGGAAGGGAAAACGATCTCCGAATTTCGTCTGCACCGGATCCCACACGAAATTTGGGACCAGGACTTGCGCTGGTGGGTGATCGCATTTCTGGTTTGCCGAAACCGATCCTCTTCGACCCCGACCCCGACCCCGACCTCGACCTCGACCTCGACCTCGACCTTGACCTTGACCTTGACCTTGACCTTGGCCTCCCTTGACCTTGACCTCGACCTTGACCTCGACCTCGAGCTCGACCTCGGACTTGCGATTTCACCAATCACCTACTTACTCACCTTTCAGCCCCCAACCCGAATCAAACTAACGCATACATACATACTGTACATACCTCTTGCATCCCGATAAGTATCGATAGCGATCACCTCCACCTCCAGCTCCACCTCCGCCTCCGCCTCCATCTCCGCCACTTCTTCGAAATCAATAACCCACCTAATCTCCCATTTCGAACAGCCAACCCTTCTCAATCACACACACAATGAGCTCCAGCGCCTGAAGCAAAAGGAGATCTCCTCTTCACCATGACCGCTGTTGGCCGCCAACAGCAGCATCCGGCACAGCGCGCAGCCCCGGGCCAGCCAACTTCGAGCACGTCGCACAGCCATCAGGCTCAAGTCCTGCGACAAGAACCTCCTGTACAAACAAGTAGCTCTCCTCAGATGGGCCATCGACCGGCAATTAGCAATGAGCCGGTAAACGGCGACGCCTACCTATCTCCCCCTCCACCTCCAGATCCAAGCAATGATCATAGACCGTCGGCTTCCTACCCAGATGGCGCGGGTCAAAGAAGAGTATCTGGACACGCACGACCTACGTCTGCGCCGAACACGGTAGAAGAGTCGTCCCCAGATGGATTCGAGACGGATCCGGGTTTGACGGTCAAATCACGGCCGCTGCTACAGAGAGCAAAGAGCGATGTTGGGCCCCATGGTTTGGACCAGGAAGTAGATGCGGAGCATATTTCTGAATTTGGAGCAAGGCATGGTTTCGAAGATCATTATGCCTCAGAGGAGTACGTTTCTCAATTGGCGAACGTGAGTGGCTCCTTCCTTTTGATATCTTGTCTCTATCTATTGCGCTATTTACTGCGGCATCTATCCTTCTCATCATGTCCTATCCCATCCCATCCAATTTCGATATCTGCAATATCTCAATTCTGTATCTCTGTGCCTCTTTCCCACCCTTCAGCACCATGCCAGTTTCTTTGGATCCTTGGGGATACTGCTGTAAATTTTGCCTCGCAACTCGACGAGATGTCAAGATAGATCGTCATCAACAGTGCACCCACCATTGGATCAATAGCCAGGCGGGTATTCCTCTACCCGTAAACATCTACACGGCCGATCAATAACAAATGCTCAAGAAGGCCCAAGAACACGCTTCAAATTGTTGACCTTGTTATCAATACGGGAGCCTCCGGACTTCAAAGCTAACGTGTGGCAGAATTGGTACATGTACTTCACCGACAAGCGCCATGAGACGACTGGCAATCCCCAGACGGAGGCCTTCGATCTACAACCTTGGCGGATGAAGGATCGGCTGAAGACTGTGTCTGCGGCGTTGGCGATTTGTCTGAATATTGGAGTGGAGCCACCAGACCAGCTGAAAACAAACCCTGGGGCGAAGATGGAAGCCTGGCAAGACCCCACGAACCCGCCGGTCGCCAAGGCCTTGGAGACCATTGGAAAGGCGTTGCAGGCGCAGTATGAGACGTTGGCGATCCGTACGCGATACAAGCAATACCTGGACCCTTCGGTGGAAGAGACCAAGAAGTTTACCCAATCTCTGCGCAGGAATGCTAAGGAGGAGCGAGTACTGTTCCACTACAACGGCCACGGTGTTCCAAAGCCCACCGCGTCCGGCGAGATCTGGGTGTTCAATAAGAATTACACTCAGTACATTCCGGTCTCACTGTACGACCTACAAACCTGGCTCCAGGCGCCTACTTTCTATGTCTGGGACTGCTCGGACGCAGGCAACATCATCAACAACTTCCACCGATTCGTTCAAAAGCACGAGGAAGAGGAGGCTGAGAATGTGTCCAAGGACCCCAGCTACACTGCCCAAGCTTTCACACCCTACATCCACTTGGCTGCTTGCGGCGTCAAGGAGAACCTACCCACGAACCCCCTACTCCCAGCAGATGTCTTCTCATGCTGTCTCACAACCCCCATCGAGATGGCTCTGTGGTTCTTCTGCCTCCAAAATCCGCTTCCATCAAATATCACCCCCGAGCGAGCCAAGAAACTCCCCGGAAGACTGCAAGAGAGACGGACTCCTCTGGGAGAACTGAACTGGATCTTCACCGCCATCACGGATACGATCGCTTGGACGTCCCTCCCGCGTGATCTTTTCCGCCAATTCTTTCGACAAGATCTCATGGTTGCGGCTCTGTTCCGCAACTTCCTGCTTGCGCAGAGAGTCATGTCGACATACAACTGCCACCCGCAATCCTTCCCAGTGCTTCCAGACACCCATACACATCCTCTGTGGGCCAGCTGGGATCTCGCTGTAGAAATGGCTCTGTCGCAGCTCGACATGCTGGAAGAGAAGGAGAATGGCACTCGCCCCGATTACGAGTTTCAGAACTCGAGCTTCTTCACAGAGCAGCTTACGGCATTTGAGGTATATCTGACGCAAGGTGCTGTAACGAAAAAGGCTCCGGATCAGCTTCCTGTCGTCCTACAAGTCCTTTTGAGTCAGCAACACCGGGTTCGGGCTTTGATCTTGCTAGGCAAATTTCTTGACATGGGTCCCTGGGCTGTTAACCTGGCTCTGAGCATCGGCATCTTTCCATATGTTCTGAAGCTGCTGCAATCTGCTGCCAACGAGCTCAAGCCCGTCATGGTCTTCATCTGGACTCGAGTCTTGGCCGTTGACATCACCTGCCAAACGGACCTCCTGAAGGACAGTGGATACATGTACTTCGCCTCTATCCTGAAGCCAAACGAAGGCCTTCCCGTGGTCGATAGTCTGGAGCACAAGGCCATGTGCGCATTCATCCTTGCTCGACTTTGCGATGGCTACAAGCAGGGACAAACGGTTTGCAATCAGTCAGAGATCATGAACTACTGCCTTGCACATCTGCAAAATAACGAGAACCCCCTACTTCGCCAATGGGCTTGTCTCTGCATCAGTCAGCTTTGGAATGATCTGCCAGACGCGAAGTGGAGAGGCATCAGAGAGAACGCACCGAGCAAGCTCGCTCTTCTCGTTCGGGACGTGTGCTGCGAAGTCCGAGCTGCTATGCTTTATGCCATGACGACATTCTTGGGAATCGCCGATCTCACTGATGAGGTTGCCCGCATCGAGGAGAACATCTCGTGGACCGTGATGGAAATGGCCTATGATGGTAACGCGATGGTCCGCAAGGAGCTGTTGGTGTACTTTTCCAAGTTCATTCATCGCTACGAGAACAAGGTCTTGGTGGCTGCGTACGAGCAACTCCTTGAGGAGCGAGAATACCGAAAATTTCCACCTAGCGATGACGGGAAAGAGCACAAGATGGGATTGCACTACGCGAAGCGCGCGAATCGCGACGCTGATGGCAACATCAAAGCTACCGCCCACGGTATTGCTCACAACTCCATCTTCGCTGCCGTCTGGAAGCATATCCTCATCATGGCTGTTGACCCCCACCCCGAGGTCGGACGAAATGCGACGATCATCGTTGACTACATCAATATTGCCCTTCTTCAATCGCCGATCGGGGGACTGACACAGAATCTTTTCGAGGACATCTCAAGGAGTGCTGCGAGAGCTGCCCCACCGAGACAACCAGCAGCCGATGTCAGACCCAGCACGCCTGCAGGACAAGAAGGTAACTCATCTCCAAAGCCTGCTCCAGGGTTGCTCAGGCGCACAACCAGCTTCCTCTTCCACACACTGCCCGGTTTTGCTAGCTCTAGCGCCGAGCCCTCGCCTGGAGACAAGAGTGTTCCCAGGACTCCTGGTGTTCCCCAAAAGCCCGGGCTCCCGAAGAGATTTACGATAGATTACACCACCCCGCCGGACGTCAATGAGACCCCCGTGACTCCTGGTGTCTACCACGCTGCCAAAGAGCCAGTGTCCGGGCAGTATAAGCCTCGCAAGATGTCTGACGCTCCTGTGATTCCACTGGAGAGCACCTTCTTCGAGTGGTCTATCGAGTACTTTCGCGAACCTCAGATGAAGCCCAGCGAGGCCGATGAGCCTGGTAGTACCGACTACAATGAGCGCTTGTGGCGACGTTCAAGAAACGAAGCCATTCTGCGTGAGACACAACCACAAAAGGAGATTGCAGGGAGCGGCAAGTGGACCAATCAAGCCGGGTTCTTCAATAACCAGAGCCAGCCTTCGAAGATGACCTTCCATCAATTCGAAGATCACCTGGCAGTTTCCGATGATCGCGACACCATCTGCATCTGGGACTGGAAGAAGTCTGGCCGACTCAACCGGTTCTCGAATGGTAACCCCGAAGGCTCCCGAATTAGTGATTTGCAATTTATAAACGAGGACGATCAAGCCTTCTTGATGTCTGGTTCATCTGACGGTGTCATCCGCATCTACCGCAACTACGATTCCGAGAAGAAGATCGAGGTTGCTTCCGCCTGGCGAGCTCTGACCCACCTTGTCCCAAGCAATGTCAACTCCGGCATGGTCTTCGACTGGCAACAGGTCTCTGGTAAGCTTCTCGTAGCAGGTGACGTTAAAGTGATCCGCGTCTGGGCCGCCGCGCCTGAAGTCTGCGTTGTGGACATTAATGCCCGCTCCGGCTCCTGCGTCACGTCCCTCACCTCGGACCAAATGACCGGAAACACGTTCGTAGCCGGCTTTGGGGACGGCGCCATCCGCGTCTTCGACACCCGGAACAGGCCGCAAGAAGCCATGGTCAAGAAGTGGAAGGATGAGAATGGCGGCGTCTGGGTCAAGAGCGTGCATATGCAACGTGGTGGCCAGCGAGAGCTAGTGAGCGCAAGCATCAACGGGAAGGTCAAGTTGTGGGATATTCGCATGGATAAGTGCCTGAGGACTATCAACACGACGGGCGATGGGCTGAGGACGGCGAGTACGCATGAGCATTTGCCTGTTTTTGCGGTGTAAGTCTCCCCGCCACCTTGAATCTCAACTATCTATGGCTAACTCTGAAACAGCGGCACCGGCGCCCACACAGTCAAAGTCTATAATTTCGAAGGCACGCAACTTTCGCGCGTCGAGCCTTACTCCACCTTCCTGCGTGGCACTTCTCCCATCTCGGCGACGGCATTCCATCCGCATCGCATGATGCTCGCTTGTGCCGCTAGAGGGGATACCTATATTAACCTCTTTACGTGCTCGGAGAAGAGAAAGAAGAAGGAAGAGGATAAAGACAAGGGGAGGGGGAAGAACAACTAAATCACTCTCCGTGTTGGGCGTGTTCATCGGTGTACATGAGTCGGGGTAGTTTGTCGTTTTTTTTTTCTTTTTCTTCTTTTTTTTTTTTCCCAATGCGGAGGCGTATAGACGGGGTGGTGACTTCGAACGAACCGGGAGGTCTTTACTTTGCCCCCCAGGTACACTGCCTTCTTACTTCACGGCCTCGGATGCTTACGAGATGATATGTGCGAGGGGTTCCTTTACGGAGTCAGTGGTCTCTTTTGCATGGCAAGGGCTAGGGGGTGGCTGCGGTGTTTGGGCTGGCTGAAGTCTCTTCTATGATTGCAATGGATGGGAGACAGAGTCCTCTGGTCCGAGAGATAAGTGGTTTAGCTTAACTGGACGATTGAGGCAGGAAGGCCTACGAGCATCGAAGCGAGCAGGGCTGTTCTGGGTGTAGATAAGTACAAGTAATGTAATGATTAATGCGAATGAATGGATGATGAGCCAGTAAGCACGTTTCTTCATTCCGATTTCCTCAGCTGGTGGCGTGTCTGAGTTCCCAATAGTTCGATTCAGGCATTTGGTAAAGGGGGAGGTAAAATTTATAGGGCTCAAGATGCCGAGGGTCTTGCTAAATTGACTTTGAATCTTTGACCGACGTGCCCACATGCTCTCCGTCGGTGCTTTGTATTGGAAGTGAAGTGTCGCCTACCAGTACTTCATCTGATGTGGCTGAGCCTCAGCCTCAGCCTTATCAGGAGGGGTAGACGAGGCTGTCCCACCGCCCTACCCCTCGCTAAAAAAAAAGGAAAAAAACTAGGGTTGCTAGCGCACGTTCCTTGCCGACGGACCCTCAACTCTACATGACCCCATCTTGAGACTTGAACTGAAGAGCTCTCAAGTCTCATCTTCCTCCGACATCTCCAACATCCCTTTCTTTTCTCGTTCGCACCAAATCTTCGAGAAAAGGAGAGAAGAGAAGGCTCAACTAATCAAGAAAGAACAGCCAAGATGGCCGATTCCACGAAAGATACTTCTTCTGTCCCCAAGGACCCCGCGCTGACCCCAACCCCGAGCACCACCGTTGCCGATTCCTCGAGCTCGCAGGCCGCTGCTGCTCCCAGTCCCGACGGCGCAGCAGATGCCCCCTCCAAGAAAGGTGCCAAAAAAGCCGAAGCCAAAGCCAAGAAGGAAGCGGAGAAGCTGCGCAAGCAGCAGGAGCGCGAGGCCCTCGCTGCGGCGTCGGCGGCCTCTTCTTCCTCTGAAGATCTAGCCAAGGACAACTACGGCCAGCTGACGCACGCGACGCCGCGGATTGCTGCCGGACAGGTACATCTGCGCGATCTGGGGGAGGGTGATGTGGGGAGGACGGTCAAGGTCCGGGCGTGGATCCAGAATGCAAGGATGCAGGGTGCGAAGATGGCGTTTGTGGAGTTGAGGGAGGAGGGCGGATGGACTGTCCAGGGGGTTGTCGCTGTTGGGAGTGCTGCTGGGGCTGGTGATCAGGAGGGGAAGGGGAAGGGAGAGGGGGAGGTGAGCAAGCAGATGGTCAAGTGGATTGAGGGGCTCAAGCTCGAGAGCTTTGTGTCTGTAGAGGCCAGTGTGAAGAAGCCCTTGGAGCCGGTCAAGAGCTGTCGCGTCAGTGGGCTTGAGCTGCATCTGAGTAAGGTGTTCTTGGTTGCGGCGGCGCCGGAGATGCTGGGGCTGGGATTGGGCCCGGCGAGTAGAGCTGTCGGCAGTTTGGCGGAGGAGGAGAGTCTGGAGGAGAAAGCGCAAGGTATGTTTCGATTTGTTCTCCACTCCTTTCAATTTCTTTCCCCCCGGCTGGCTTTTATGGATGGAGAGTGAGCACGAAACTGACTTGACCAGCTTTGGCCGTTACAGAAGGCACACCCATCGCCTCTCTCGCGACGCATCTCAACAATCCAGCTATGCACAAGCGCGCGCCTGTCAGCCAAGCTATCGCCGATATCCGCATTGCTGTTGAGGATCTGTTCTGCGATTATCTGCGCTCGCAGCGCTTCAAGAAGTTCCATCCCCCTAGCTTGATCGGTGCTGCGTCCGAAGGCGGAGCCAACGTCTTCAGGTTGCCGTACTTTGGAGAGGAGGCATACCTTGCTCAGTCACCACAATTCTACAAGCAGTTCGAGATTGCGGGTGGTAGGAAGCGCGTTTACTGCGTTGGTCCGGTCTTCAGAGCCGAGAACTCCAACACGCCTCGACACATGACTGAGGTTTGTCCTTACACCCACTCGTTTCCAGACTTCTGTACTGACGACCTCTTTAGTTTATCGGCCTCGATCTGGAGATGGAAATCGAAGAGCACTACCACGAAGTCCTCCACATGCTCGAAGCCGTGCTCCTTCACATCTTCAAGGGCCTGACCGAGCACCACCGCGAGGAGATCGAACTCATCCGCTCCGTCTACCCGTCCGACGAGTTCCTGCTCCCGGAACCCGGCAAGGAGGTACGGCTGACGTTCGCTGAAGGCCAGGCCCTGCTCCGTGCCGAAGGTCCCCCCGAGTTCGCCCACGTCTCGGACGACGAAGACATGTCGACGGCGCAGGAGAAGGCCCTCGGCGCGCTGGTGCGCCAGAAGTTCCACACGGACTTCTACGTCCTGGACAAGTTCCCCGTCGGTGCGCGCCCCTTCTATGCCATGCCGGACCCGGAGGACCCGCGCGTGACGAACGCCTACGACTTTATGATGCGCGGCCAGGAGATCCTGTCGGGCGGGCAGCGGCTGCACCTGCCGGCCGAGCTGGAGGCCACGATCCGCGCCAAGGGTCTGGATCCCAACCAGCCCGGTATCAAGGAGTACGTAGATGTGTTCAAGAGCGTGGGTGTGCCTCCGCACGGCGGCGGCGGTATCGGACTGGATCGCGTGGTGGCGTGGTATCTGAACCTACCGAGTGTGCATCTCGTGTGTGATTATCCGCGGACACCAAAGAGGTTGAGTCCTTGATTGGGGGATGCGCTTGGGCTGGGGCTTGGGACTTTTGGGGGAAGGGTGGGGGGATGGGGAATTGGAGAAAGGCATGATTATCATGATTTGACTTGCTGATGACAAGTAGGTAGCCAACTAGCTAGCTAGATAAGGAAACAGCAGCCAGAGAGGAAGCCTACAAGCTAATTGAAGAATTAAGCTACCACGTCTATCTAATCTCATCTTTCCAACCCTGCTCCTTCAGTGCCCACCTGACAGCCTCAAGCACATTATCCACAATCACGTCCGGCTTATACACCGGGATTGTGCCCTCCTGATAGACACCCGTCTTGACCAAGATACTAGACCAAGCAGGGCCATGTTGTTGTTGTTCGCCGCCACCAGCACGGCCCAGATTGTAGCTATTCGCACCCCGGATATCGCTCTCCGGGTTGTCGCCGACCATAAAGACCCGTTTCAGGCTTGCAGCAGCAGTACCGCCGCCGTGACGGCCCCCGAGCATTGCGGCATGGCGTTCTTGGAGCACGCACTCACCGTACTGATAGGTGATGCGCGATGGCTTCCCGATCACCGTGTGGTGGAGTTGGGCTCCGTCGTGGGAAGAATTCATAGATGTGTACTGTTGCCAGAGACCCAGCAACGCAGCTTGGAACGCACCCTGGCCCAATCTCGGGAGGTGGTAGGATGCCGCCCAGAGAAGATCCGGGTTGGAGAAGTACACGTGGGGCTGGCCGTCTTGCAGATATCCGGAATTCGGGAGGGTCCTGTCGTCGTTCTTCTCTGACTTGGTGCCCAAGACGCCGCCTTTGGAGAGGATGAGATCGAGAATGAGCTGCGAGTCGAGTGCCCAGTCGCGGGGGTCGTTGTAGACGAAAATGGCGTCGATCTTGAGTGGTTTGGACGGGTTGGGGAGCGGTCGCGCTGTGGTCCGGTAGTAGTCTGTGAAGACTTGATTGAAAGGCCATATGTCTGGATACGCCGACAGGATATCTGCTGGGATGACTACGTTCTCGAATCCGTATCTGTGGAAAGCCAGTGAGCGCGAATACGGGTGGACCATGGAGCGTGGTGCGCCTACGATTCTGCCACCTTGCGGCACTTGTCGCCGTGGCCACCAGTCACCAGTATGGTTGATTTTTTGCTGAGCTGAGTCGCATTCTTGGATAGATAGCCACTCGTATCAAGTAGCTGCTTGAATGGAGTATGCGATTGGACGAAGATATCCTCCTTGATTTCAACCTCAAGCTTCTCGCTCAACTCCTTTACTCGGTCGCTCTCGAGTTTTCCGCCGCCATTCGTCAATAGTATGTAGGGTATGCAGTTATTTTCCAGGTATCGCAGGGCTCTCGAGGCGCCTGGGAGGGGTGTCGAGGATCGGAGGAGCACGCCGTCTATGCTGGACGAGACATCAGCTGGGGAGGTTAGAGAAAACCGTGGCCAGAACCCACTCAAATGCGAAAGCGAAGTCGGAAGGGACTTTCACAGGAGCTCTCACAACGCTGTAGTATTTTTGCCCCCTGCACAGTTTTCTTGTTGAGGTGGATCGTGCTATATCCTTTTTATGGCCTGGCTCCGTCCAGGAAACCGGACGATGGCCGTGTTGAAAAGCGTAAGATCTGTTAGGGACTGGGCAGCAAAGAGAAGCCACAGGAGGGGCGGGCCTACGCTGCCGCAGCAGAAAATTCTTGAAGGACGATGTAGTCCGACGCATGGTCGTTGTAAGGTTGGTTTTGTTGAAGCTGGACGGGCAAGGCTGAGAAGATGGGGCCGGAAGCTTAGTCCATGTCAGCGCGCCTATTTATTTTGTTTCCGCGCATATTGCGCGTCTATTTCAGGGGTCTCGCTACGCTACTAGCGTCTTCATTTGTTGAACGCTATTTTCATGCGTCGGCTTTCAGCCAGTATCATTGACAAATTTGCTCTCACTTGGATCCAGAATTCTCCAACGATCGATCGATTTGAAAACTTAAATCACCGATCTTGATGGCTTCCAAGTTTGTAGCAGCCGCTTGTCACGTTTCGCCAATAACACTTTCGGCGCGGAAAACGACCGACAAATGCATCTCCCTCATAAACCGAGCAGCTACAAATTCAGCCAAACTGGTCGTCTTCCCCGAATCTTATATACCGGCTTTCCCAGTATGGAGCTCAATGCTTTCACCTGGTCGGAACCACCACTTCTTCGAGATGATGGCTCAGGAATCCATTTTCGTAGACGGCGAAGAGATGAAGGAGATCCGAGAAGCTGCCAAACAGGCCGGGACAGTTGTCAGCGTGGGCATCTCAGAAAAGGCCAGGTATAGCACTGCCACACTCTTCAATTCAAATATCATCATCGGCGCCGACGGTGAAATCCTCGTTCACCACCGCAAGCTGATGCCGACGTTTTTCGAGAAGTTGACCTGGAGCCCTGGGGACGGGTACGGCTTGAGAGTAGCCAACACGAGGTTCGCAAAGATTGGAGCTCTGATCTGTGGAGAGAATGAAAATCCTCTGGCGCGATACTCCCTAATGGCACAGGGAGAACAAGTCCACATATCTACGTGGCCAGCCGTGTGGCCTACTCAATCCGGGGAGAGCAAGCCTAGAGTTCATGCCAATCACAACAATGTAGCCGCCAATCGGATGCGGGCTGCGGCGCATTGCTTTGAAAGCAAGTCTTTCGGAATCATGTGTGCAGCTTATCTCGATGCTGCAAGTATCCAGGTCATCGCTTCGGAGTCAGCCGATCCTAAATATGTCACGCATGTCCTGGGCCATGCTTCTCAGGCGGCTACTGAGTTTCTGGATCCTTCTGGGGCTGCATTGGTGGGGTACAGGATTGATACCGAATCTGGGAAGAAGGTGGAGACGAAGCTATTGCAGGGGACGGAGGATATTCTGTATGCTGAGATTGATCTGCAAAAAGGGATCGAGGGCAAGCAATATCACGATGCTCTTGGAGGGGATCAGAGACTCGATGTATTCGATCTGAAGGTTGATAGGACAAGGAGGAAGCCAGCAACTTTCTTCCGGAGCGTGGAGACATCTTCAAAGGAGAAGTTTGTCGCGACAGCAACTGCGGCAGCGAAAGGGAAAGGGGAATGACAATGCCAAGAGACGAGATGGCTTTCCCAAAAAGACCATCCAGCACATACCGAGCTACAACAGGCTCCGATTCCCGGGGGACTAGGTCTCAAGTGCAGTGTCGCATAGATGGAGACTTAAGTCGCGGTAACACGCTCGGGAAAAGGCAGAAGGCATCGTCACGGATCCCGCTCTCGCCACACTCTCCGTCATGTACAATTAGAGTCAATATGAGTAAGCTTCAGACTCTCAATTACCATTTACGATCACGAATGAGCGATATGACGAAGGTAAGGAGCGGACTACTTGCATTGGTCTGGATCCGAATACTTTCTACGTGCGACTTCCTCCTTTCACCCAGCACTTTAAATCTTCTCATCGCCGATGAATCTCACCTTTTAATTCACAACTGTTCCAAGCCATTCATATAGACTGAGCCATCGTCGACACAGGCCGCTGATTCATTCTCATCGGCGGACTGCTCAAGCACCCGCTTGCCATCACCCATCATAAATTCAAACACTCTTTCCGCACCACCATAGCGGTCTTCCACGCATGCCACAGAAATCTTCTCAGACCACCCATAGAGAAATTTTGGCGGATCGGTAACGTGAGATGGACTGGCTTCTTCCTCAGAACGATTCTCGATATTACTCGGTCACTCCCAGGATATCGAAAAGATGTATCTATTGAAAAAGCAATGTCACTAGAAGTCAGGGTCCAATTCCCAAACAAAACTAAGGTTTCTCCCCGCGATTACAGGCGGGCAAAATCCATCGCGATTGACTGCCAAGATGCCGTAGGAATGTTTCTTTCGCTGGGTGGCGCCCAAATATTTGAAATTTTCTTGGCTTATTCTCAATCGCCAGTAAGGATTTATATTTTATCCTCTTGGGCCTTCTCCCAACGTCGATAATGATCTGACAGATTTACGGTCTCACGGAACCAGAGATCACCCGCTTCGCTCTGGCATGGCTGTGAAAAAGATGCTCCCCTGGGACTATTCGCCTCTGTTATTGCGGCCCAGGCGAACAGACTGACTCACTACTGTGGTTGACATCTCGGCTCTTGAACTCCAAATTACGCAGCGACTTTTCGATCTTCGGTTGACCGATATATTAATATATCTCAGGTATCTCAGTCCTCGCCTGTACGTGCAACCAGTATAGCACAGAAGCTGAGGCTATACGAATACTCTACAGTCTCTACAATGGTATCTAGATTGCGCTTAACAAAAATCTAAGAGCCGTTCATCAGAAGACAAAAATGGCTGCCGACATTATATGTGCAACCCAGACCTGCCCAGTGGTCCGACATTGGATTTCCAAGAAGGCTTTGCCATCGCGTACGGAGTCTTTCCTCTCGATAACACGAGGCTTCACGAAGGCGTATCGCCGCATATTGAGATGACAGAACTGCTCTTTCATTTTGAATTTTGAAGATTGGGATGCTCAATGAGACCCTTGAGCTTAAGAATACCGCACTAGTGCTGCTATATTCGAATTGGCGGATGGTAAACTCAACTCGCCACCTGGGCCTAATAGCGATATTACTCAGGTGTTGACTCTGGATTCTCAGGCAAATGGGGGGAAATGGGAGCTTTGATCCAAGGCTCGTCTCTTGAGACCCAGTTCGGAGAAACCCGTTAATATTGAGAGCTACTGATATGTTCTAGTGTCGGAATTGATCTGGTGTTATGGCCGATACAGGTCCGCTACCCTTAGCTCAAATTTAAGGATCGGGTAGATAATCCGTCGGGGAAAAAGACGAGGAAAATTTTCAACGTTGTTTGAGCTAATTTCTGAGCGGTCTCTCGCCGTAGTTACCCGCAGCCCCATGTATTTTTTTTTTTTTTCAAGCAGCTATTCTTATGGACTGTTTCTTCTAGCACAGTCCAAAGCACAAGGGCAATCGATAATGCCACTCTGGACCCAAATCCTACCCCGGCAGTCTTCTTACCACAAATGTCTTTCTGAGTCGTTCTGTTGTTTGTTTACTTTAGCGAGGGAAGAGCCTAACTCAACCCCAAAAGGCTGATGCGGCACGAGGTCGAGCGAGGGAAGCCTGCAGGATCGATTGGTTTTCGCACTTTCCTAGCTTTCAAAGTTCTGGCTCCATCATGCTTCTTTCTTCAAATACCATCTGACATGATCAATCCTCTGATATCATTAACCTCCAGAGCTAGCCTCAGTCGGACCGTGAAATCCTGTCAGCACTGAATCCCCATCTCATTGCGACTTCGACAATATCTTGTTTTTTAAGAAGCATGTCAGTCTGCATCGCTTTGTACAGAAACCTGCTTGAGATGCAGATGCATACCGAATCCTCGCGTACTTGACGTAGCTCGACTTCCCCCTCGGCACCTCACACGTGGTTGTTGATGTGCTGGCGATCCGGGGTCTCGTTTGCATGCAAATAAGCAATCAGCAGCTTGGCATGCAAAGAGGATGTGGGGTGTCCTCCCCATAATTTGAACCCCTACTCGACTCTTCAGCTGCTCCCTCTCCTCATCTCCCCCACCCAAAAGAGTATCTTGGTTGCTAACAAGAATTTCCCTGCGTTGTTTACCTTGGTTTCGCGAGCTCGCTAACGGCATCCACTCTGGGGACGTGCACGTTGATGCCATCTTCGTCCTATTGCGCCATGCGCTGCAGTCGCACTACTTCTTGCACTCTTCAAGTCAGCTTACATCTCGAGAGTGAAGCAGAGTGATTGTGAGACAAGCTACAAAGGACGATATTTTTACACTCGGTCTCCTGATAAAGGAATCTAATAACGGAAATTGACGGCATTGTCGAGTACACCAGCAGCAAAGAAACGAGCCGGCTAAGAATAGTCCTCTTTCTTTTTTAACTGAACAACGGAATTGTCCCAATCGACAATCGCTATGCGCAAGATGTCAGGCCGGAGGGCCGGGCCAATTAGCGGTTCAGCTTGTTGAGGGTCAAGAAGGGCTGTGAGTCGATCACAACAATGGCATGCTCGAGAATAGCTGCGCGCTTTGAATGAATTTGTCTGGGTGAATGGAGGGAGGGAGATATTTGTACATAAACATTCACATACCTACCTCTTTCCTCGCTGACTCCCACATACGAAATCTATTGTTCTCGCAAACAATACGATCTTGTTACATATCTACAGAATCTGAATACATAAACTTCAAACCTATCGCACATAACTTCAACTTATCACATACTTACATCTCATACACTGACACCACAATCATGATCATCCCTCTCAGTGTTCGGTCTATCGTGACCGCCGCGGCAGCAATCTCGTCGAGAGGTACTCAGACGACCCAACCAAGCCTCACAAGCCGTGCAATCAACGTCGACCACGCCAGAGTAGCCACCTCCGCCATCTCAGCCCTCGACAGCTTCTATCAAAAAGACAACCTAGTCTGGAAGAACGTCCGAGGGTGGATAGCCGCCAACGTGTACAACGACATCATGGACTTCGATCTCTTCTCCCACACCAGACAGCACGAAAACACCTACGGCGCCGCCCTGCTCACGATCGCCACGTCGGCTGCCGCCCAGGAGAAAGTCGGCAGCGTCAACGACTTCAACGACGACCAGCTGTGGTGGTGCCTCGCCATGATCCGCGCCTACCAGAACTACGGCCACCGCGCGCCCCTAGACCAGGCCATCCGGCAGTGGAAATCCATCGGGGCCAACGCCCAGCTGTCGCACGCTGACCAGGGCACCACACCGAGCATCACCCCCGGCGGGATCCAGCGCGACGCTGCCATCCCCGCTGGCTGCGACGTCGACGGCGCCGTATACTGGTCCAGCCAGCGCAGCAGCGGCCTGAACGCCATCTCGACCAGCCTGTACGCGCAAGTCGGCGCCTGGCTCTTTGCCCTCACCGGTGACGCGAAGACCTTCCGCGGGCCGACGGACCGCGCCCTGGCCTGGCTCCAGCGCGTGACGCTCGATCCTGCCACGGGCATCATGGTCGTCGACGGCCTGACTGTCCAGGGCTGCAAGAAGAATCCCGGCGCCCTCACCTACAACACGGGCGTCTACATCGGTGCTCTGACATCCATGTACATGAGCACGCGCGACGCCAAGTACCTCGCTGCCGCGCGTATCTCCGTCAAGTCTGCTACTACAGGCGCGTTCGGCAACAGCCCGCCTCTAGTCGTCAGCGAGGCGAGCGCGCTTACGACGCCGGGCGATGCCGTCCAGTGGCGCGATATCCTGTTTCGCAACCTCTACGACTTTTATGACTCCGTGAACGGGGTGGGCCAGGTTGATGGGGTGCTGAAGAGCCAGATGCAAGCGTTCTTTCGGGCGAACTATGACCAGATCCAGGGGAAGGCGAGGTTTGGGAACTTGTATGCTGCGAACTGGTTTGGCAAGATGAGTACGGGCTCGGATTGGGGGACTGGAAGCGTGTTGAGCAACCTCCTCGGATCGATGTTGCTTTTGTGATTAGGCGTTTTGTCTTTTTGTTGAGGGGGGGGGGGGGGGGATGGGAGTTACTGGATGGAGTCCCGGTGGTTTTTTATACCCAAGAATAGCGATCTCGAGCTTTGCTTTGATTTAGGAGGGTGTTAACAGAATGCGAATTCTTACGAATAGGCGTATGTTTCGTACCAGGTCACAAATTCAATGCCATTAGAAAGGAGATCCAGGTCTCCAAAAAGAAAAGAGGAAAGAAAACCGTGAGCTAACTAGCCGTACACGGTCCAATGCCAACAAATAATCAATCCACTTACAACCAAATGCGTCTATAATTTCTCAGAGTCCATACCAAAATTAAACCACTAATCATAATAGCGAGAGCGTGGGTCGGAGCTCGGTCAGAATAGATATCAAATATCTATCTGTACTCACGATTAATGAGTTGCCGCCCACTGGGCGTACCAATCCAGACACGCCTTATTAGCGACGCTAGCGCCGACCTTGACATTCAAGCCGCAGAGGATCTGCTTGACTGCAATCTCAACCCTATTCAGCGTTCGCAAAGAAAATAGGAACGTACAAGTCAGCAATCCGAAAATCGTCGGGATGATAAGAGGGATGAGAAGAGAGGGGAAGGGGCAGGCAGGCAGACTTACTTCTTCCCGTTCCCGGTAACAGGAATATCGAAGCACTCGTCAATGACAGCTGGCACGTGGCGCGCGCTCAGCTCCCGCCTTACCAGCGCCCTGATCTCGCTCTTCAGCTCTGCACTGCACGACTGCCCTGCAGACATCTTGACGAACAGAACGACGGTCTCGTCCGTGTCCGACTCCCGTCGGCGGCCCACGCAGATTGCGTCGCTGATCGCCTGGGGGAAATGCTTCAGCAGCACGTTGTAGATCTCGGCGCTGCCGAAGCGCACGCCACCCGGCTTCAGAATGCCGTCGCTGCGTCCGAGCATGGTTAGCCCGCGGGTGCCGCACTCGAAACGCACGAAGTCGCCGTGGTGCCACACGCCAGTGAACTGCTCGAAGTAGGCGGCGCGGTACTTGCTCTGGCCCTGGGTCGGGGAGGAGAGGTGGAAGAAGGTGACGGGCTGGCTGGGAAAGGGGCTGGTGCACACGAGGTCGCCTTCCTCGCCGTCGGGGATGGGTTTGCCGTCCGGTGACCAGGCTGCGATGGCCATGCCTAGGCCTGCGCATTGGATTTCACCTGGGTAGACGGGGAGGAGGGGACACGGTGCGCCGAAGAGAGAGATGATGTCGGTGCCGCCTGTGATGGACCCGAGGTTTATTGTAGGTGGGAATGCTTCATACACATACTTGAAGGTTGATGGCGCAAGCGGGGAGCCAGTCGAGTAGATGGCCTTTAAGGAACTCAGATCCAGTATTTCCATCGGCTTGACTCCCTTCTGTTCGAGGATAGAGAGGTATTTTGCTGATGTTCCAAAGTGCGAGATTTTCAAGTCTTGTATTAGACGCGGCATGGAGAGATTACCGTGGGGGTGAAACGGGGACCCATCGTATAGGATGATGGTACAGCCTGAGGCGAGGGCAGAGACGAGCCAGTGCCACATCATCCAGGTGGTGGTAGTGAAGTAGAGCATGCGGTCCCCTGGACGGATGTCGCAGTGGAGGATGTGCTCCTTTTTATGTTGGATGAGGGTTCCAGCTGCCGAGTGGACGATGCATTTCGGCGCGCCAGTAGTGCCACTGGAGTACAAAATATAGAGGGGGTGCGAGGGGGGTAGCTGTGCAAACTGGAGGGGGGCAGCGAGGTCCTCGACGCTGTGATGGCCAGGTTAGGTCTGTTGGTCTGTTGGCTGACAGCGAGAGGAGCATACCTGTTGACAAAGTCTCGGTACTTGTATACTTGACCATCGGGCAAGCTCAAATCATCGGTCTTCATATCAAAGCCTTTGACGGTCTCAAACATAACACAAGCCTTCAATCCCGTGAGTCCAGCCAAAATGCCCTTGACCTTATCATAACTCCCATGCACTTTGTCGTTATAGCCAACCGCATTGTCCACAAACAGCACTTTCGGCTCAATCTGAACCAGCCTCTCCAGAACAGCCGTCACACCCGTCTCGGGACTGACTCCGGTCCAGATGGCCCCGATGGACGCCGCGGCTAACATGGCAACAACAGCATTGGCGTGGTTGCCCAGGAATCCAGCGACTCGGTCAGACTCCACAACGCCATGAGATCTGAGGGCATGGGCGCATCGTCGAACTCTCTCCCTGAGTTCCGCCCAGGTAATGGAGGCATGGCTACTCTCTGTTGCTTCGATGATAGCTGGGGAGCGCTCATCGATCACGAGATTGGCAGGGTAAAGCAGGTTCTCGGCAAAGTTTAATCGAGATGCAGCGAAAAATTCTGGTCTTGGGAATATCGGCGCGTCTTGGGGCAGAATCTGGATAGTGTATTGCCGTCTTGTTAGCAGGTCCGTCTGCTTCTTTGCTCGACATGGGCACGTGACGGGTATGTTGAACAGAACAGCCTACCTCATCATAAGACTTCTCCGCGACGACACCGGTAAAGTCCCATACGTCTCCCCAGAACTCTGGGATATTCCCAATGGACCACTCATACAAATCCACATAGCTCCTCAGCTCAAGTCGGTGCTTCTGGTTGACTTCACGCATGAATTCGCTCATGCGAGTCGAGTCCGGGTCGGGGTGCGTCCATAATACCGATGCTGGCTTTGACGGATTCGACATTCCATTCGCATTTGGTAGACTATTCGTGAAGATGGATGCCATGTTCAGGCTTTATGTTGCAATATTTTATTTTCTTGGACCAGACCCTGATCAGATATCCTCCACGTGCTGGAAATTGTTGAGGCTGAACCGAGCCGCGGCTTTGGTATTGCTGGCATCCGTTTTCTGCCGACCGATTGATTCAATTGGTGCCTTACGAAAAAATAAAGTCGTCATGAGTCTTAGTATAATCAAAATTCCATTTTATATATCAGTTCTGATAACGCCGGATGCACATATTCAATTGCTTAAAAGAGAAATTCAAGCACGTGATTATCGCTTCTTTTCTTAAACAATAAATCTTTGATATCTGCGTAAAAGGTATCTTATGGTTCTTAGTAGGCAGTGAGTATTGGCTTATATTAATCATCATGATATGTTGAAATAGTATGCGAGTTATTTTAATAAACGGTACATACGGAGTAGACAGAGTGGGCGATAATGTGATGGGTCAACGGATCACGCTTTTACCTTTACTTAGCGCAGAGCTTGTTTTGACCTCACTCACGGCTGCTCTTTTCCCCACGGAATTCATACACGTCCTCGAAGACACAGCCCGCGGGTTTGATAGGCTAGTGTTGTGCTATTACAGATTCGAAACTTCGCCATATCAGAGAAGTATTGATCCCGGAGATCAGCAATCTTACCCAGACAGGACATACGGATTCTTCTGTACAACCCTCCGCTAAGTAGCAATTCCGTCATGGTATTAAAAATATATGACGGCTTTTCATACTATGGATCCCGACTGCAACAACTCTTGCACGAAGGAGGTTAAATGATGCATTTAGTCTGGACTACTTGTACTTAGAAGGACCTCGGATCCTCAATTTTCAGCCCAGCTCACCTCAACTGATCTCGAGCCCCCAAACTAACCGCCATGCAACTGGAGGTGGAACGAACCGGCAGATCAATCTCCAAAATCTGGAAAACCTTGGTGCACAAAGTACGGACAGCGGTACGGTGCCGAACCTGAAATGGAGCTTTAGCGATTCCAAGACCAAGATCTTCAACGGCGGCTGGACGCGCACGCAGGTTGTGGCCTATCTGCTCGCCAGTCACGACCTCGCTGCTGCTCAGCAACACTTGAAGAAGGGACCGGTGTTTTCCCCGAAAACAGCGGCCACTACATAGATAACACGTCCGCGACAGAGGAGCTGGTCTAGATCGAAATGTACCCGAGCGATCGGGTCGCGGATATCTTGCTGACGCACTGGCTGGCGCTGACCCCGCCGGATACCGTAGCAAACATGCTGAAGCTCCCACGGAGCGTGGTCGACCAGCTAAAGAAGGAGAAGTAGCTGTTTATCAAGGGGTATGCGGTAGGAGTATTTGTAAACTGTTTTGACTTGGTTGAAGTATTAACGATAAAAGAAAATCCAAGATCAAGCAATCGGCAATCAATGGTAGGTTCTCTCTGAAGACTCTAACTTCGGCACTTCTATCCTTCGGCATTGCAAAAATTAATCTGTTTGTAGTTTTGAAGTTTTGGAAGCCCTTTATTGTATGCTCTATTCTTTATCCGTCGTAGCTCAACTGAGCGGATCGATTACTTTGCCGTTGTGATATCAACTTGCAAATCCCCTCTAGGCTGGAAAAATTCCACATAGCTTACTTGACTATGAAAGAATAAGCATCGATATATACTTTTATTCTCATAAGCTAGTGCAAGCATAATATATAGGAAATATCGTCGGTATCACGTGTATTAACGCGGACCTGCCTATCCGGGTATATCAAGCTAGAAAAGTGTATTGGTATTAGTTCCTTACTGGGTTTATAGATCAACTAACTGCGTTTCTATATGAATGCACGATACGAAAATGGAAAGGGGAGGCATGAATTACAAGTTGGCTTGTTATTGGTCTTGTGTCTTTGTATGTACAAGTACGATCCTTTGCTGCCGTTATCATCTATCTCTCTACCTGTCTGGTTTTCTGTCAGTTGTTCATTACTATTAATAAACTAGCCAACAAGAGAGGTCGGATATCCATTCTCTCAAACACGAGAGATGTACTGCCGCCAGACGAGAGTCCAAGTTTAACAAAGCCAACTACCCCGCTCACACCTCGCGCTCTTTTAAATAAGTACAAAGAATCAGACAAACGATCCATCCTTCCCATGTCGATGACAGAACATCGCGCCCGGCACCCCCTTCTTGACATGCGCCATACACTTCCGCCGATTTGCCACCGTCTTACCTAACATCATAGTGCAACGCTCAGGGCCGTTACCACGCAGCGCAACCTCAGCCTTACGCTTGCGGCTCATGCCGTACTCGTCGGTGTTCTCGCACGGGAAGTGGACCGTCTGGTACATCGCGGCTTTCTTGTGGTCGATCCAGTCCTGGTGCTCGGTCGTCTTGTAGTCCAGACACTTCTGCGCCATGGCGAGGGGGAGGAAGGTCGAGTGGCCGTCGACGAGATAAGGGAAGGCGTTGATATAGTCTTGGGCGGAGGGGGTGGCGATGTCGAGGAGGGTAGTGGGGTCCTGGATGGGAGTGTTGTCGCGGATGGCGTGGCGGAGGCGGAAGCCCATCATGTTGGCCTCGGTTCCGAAACCGCCGAGACCGCCGGCGAGCGTCTCCGGGCCGAGCTCGCGGGTTCGTGCGCGGGCGCATTCTTGTCGCAAGTAGGGGATGATGTAGAGGCGGTTGTAGGGGGTGCCCTCAGGGAGAACAGGGTAAGTATAGCCGGCGGGCGGGGTGTATCGGAGGGGGGAGTCGGGCGTGAGAGTCTCGGGGTAAGGGCCGTCGCCGGACCCGCCGTGCGGGTAGTTGGCGTCGATCACCAGGCAGGTCTGCGACGCGGCGGTGCAGGTGAGGCGGAATGAGGTCATAGAGAAGCGGCCGGGGAAGTAGCCCTTGGGGAGGTAGCTGAGGAAGAAGATGACCGACGGGCAGCGTCTCTCGTCGCCGCCGTCGTCGTGGACTTGGGCGCGGGAACCCAGCGCGCGCGCCTTCTTCTGGCCGACCGCGATGAAGTTCATCTGGATGGAAGAGACGCACTTGTTGCTCTCGTCCCCACAAGTGATCCAGGCCTCGCCGTGGTACGCGTCGTCGTGAGCTTGAGTCCAGGCGCCGGGCGTGCTCGTGATGATCTGCTGGGCCAGGATGGAGATGATGCTGGCGACTTTCATGACGCGGGGGTTCTCGTGCTGGGCCAGTCGGCTAGGGTGCACACTATCAGGCTTTCGGGTACACTCGACCGTGAAAGCAATGTTGTACTTGGTGCCCTTCTTCTTTCTGTTTCCAGCCAGCTTCTCCAGCAGAGGTTGGAAGTCAGCGGCGAGACTCAGAACCTGCAGGCGGGCAAGAAGATCGGAGACACCGAGATCCTTCAGCTCTTTGAGACCCCAAAGTTTAGCGACGAACAAAGTCACATCTTTATGACCACACTTAGTGTGGAGGTAGACCGGCTTGTTATCGTCCAGCAGGTGATATCCCTCGTCCTCGAGCTCGCTGCTTGTCAGCTTCCGCGTCATATCGAATCTAGCAGGGAGGAACTTTGATCGGTAGCCACGTTGGGTGGAATTAAGTCTGCCGCCTTTGCGAGGAGCTTCTTTCAGGTAGTAGGCGTTGTCGACGAGGTTGATGTTATACATCTTCTCGTTAAAATCGTCCTTTGATCAATTAGCTCTGAAACTCTGAAGTCAATAAGCAAGGGGTGTACATACATCAATTGCACCTCCTTCAATTGGATTTTGTGGACCTTCCAAAACCGAAAGGACTCCAGCTGAATCAATCATCGGAGTGTCAACTATCGGACTGTCAACCTTTCTACCTTCTAGATCCAGGGAAATCGACTCGAGCCAAGACTCTACAGCGACTACGTTGTCTGAGACCTGATGAGAAGCTGAAATGGTTGCCAGATCGGGGCTGCTCTCAATACCTTCCATAGCGGATAGGGTTTCGAAGTCTGATTCCTGGGGAGGAAGTCGAGTAGAATCCATCTCTGCATTCATCGAGTGCTTATTGCGTATCAATGCAAAGGGTGGAGGAGAGGTTGCGCTGCGACTACCATAAAATCTGAAAATAAACACCTCCCTCACCGAAGGCTTTTGGGCCTAGTCCCAATCGAGCAATCCGGTAGCTCCAAAAAAATCAACGACCACCGAGATCCCGCGATTAAAGTACATTCGCCAGTCCATATTTCCTATTGGTATCGTAGAGATCTTCACTACGATTCCTGCTATAATTCGTCCTACATTAGTAGTAGTAGCAGTAGTAGTAATTTACGTCAGGCGGGTGGCAGGCCTAGCCTGCTGCCCTAGGACCTCCCATAGGGTATGGCAACGTGCTAAGCTAAGGAATAACATACAAAAAAACCTTTAAAAGCATTTCAAGAATCGTGCAGCGTAGCTCCTATGGACCATGCTCTTCCTTAAAAGATAAAATGGATCACAGAAAGAGAAAGCCTTACCCGGGTCGAGGTAGAAACAAAAGGAGCAGGGCAGAATATGCTCCCGCGGCCCTAGAAGCCTAGCGGATTTCAGAGTCGCTGGCCGATATGAAACAAGGAGGCCGGACCGACATCAGCCTGGTTACAGGTCCTAGGACATTGATTGCTAAGGCGGCTCTTATAGTTAAGAGAGAGTACGGGCATTCAAAGAAGAACAAGTAGTGCTCAAGACTAAAATACTTGAAATAAAGTAGCTGAGCTGCGCATGAATGCTAGTAAATTAATACTGCACGGAAAAGCCTATGTTTTCTTTCACAACCAGAGCAAGTCGTGACTCGTTTGAAATATTTTAAAAATATTTTATCGTATCATTGACAACTGAACTCATCTATCCATACAACAGACCTGATCATCCATACGCTGAATACCAAAAATAACAAGAAAATTGCGGGTGATGTGGGCGGGAGGTAATAGCAACAACAGCAACAACAACAACAACAACAACAACCCTCTACTGTTCAAAAAAAAAAGGGGGGGGGAGGGGAGGGGGGTGAGGGCTTCCAAATTTTTCGACAAAAATTCCAAAACTCAACTGGAAGCTCATTTACTATAATGAGGTTCCAGTCTACAAACCTAATTGAATAAGTTTTTCGATATCTACAATCTACAATCAAACCGACGATTTGGGGTCATGACTATGAGCGGCTGTAAGCCACTGAGCCATCAAATCTTATCGCCGGTCGATGGGAGACCTTCTCAGAGTTTGTTTATATCACGTAGACGAAAAAAATTACTGCCGGAAAAAGTCCGGGCCGGGGATTTAAATTTTAAGCCTAGAGCGGTGGTCTAAATTTCATGTACAATGAGAAGGATAAGGCGTTTATGCTGCTGCATTTGGCCTTGAAGGCTTTGAGTTAGCATATTGTAATACTAGGCAGGCTTCGGCAGATGTTGCTAACTTCTGGGACGATTATGAAAGGTTGAAACGGTCGGAGCTATCTAGACTCTCTATACAAGGATCGTTAATAGTGTCGTAAGGAGATAGGTCACAAACATCACGCATGAAAGCATCCAAGGAGATGATAAGGTTGTTTATTTATCTGGCTCGGCTTAAGCGAGCCAAGCTTCGCAACCGGTAATCAGCAGTCTTAGACAATGGCTACTTCCATAAGTCCTCATTCTACATTCTACATGGATTACCTGTAGTCTGGATGGAAGTTCGTTTTCTTACTCTCAGGAATGTCTTTCGTCCTCTCCTCCTCACTTAACACCTCCCATCTTCTATTCTCCTTCCGCAATTACAGCGCTGGACTAATATGCCTTACAGGCTATAGCAGCCAGATATATACTCCCCTTCCGACCGAGAAACATAGTTCTAGAGTGTACTTGCTATGAGGCCTCTTCTTGAAGGTATGCTCTACGACCAAGCCTGCACGATTTCCCACGGGCTGGTTCAACCTAATGGCAGTAGCGCGTTTGCAGTAGCCCGCGTGGCTGTTCATTAGCCACGTAGCGTTCAGCCTATGAATACAGTAGATACAAGGCTCGATGGGAAAGGTTGAAAAGTACAGCGCGCTGCGGGCTTGGAATGGCACGCCAATCTGCAGTGCGTAGCCGGACTGTCATCAAGCCCGCTGGGAGCTTGAACGCAACGCGGATTGAGCAGCAGTGGTCGGAAATCCGCGACAGAGAGACTTAAACGAAAGCGGTCCAGGAAAAGACAGGGACGGCGAGCAGTTGCGTCGTCAAAGAGCCGTATCCAAAGCTCTTGATGATAAGCGGCAGGAAATTGGAGAGTCCGGACGAGTAGATGTCGCTACCCGCAGCTGATGTGCAGTTTTGAATCCCTGAATGCTTTTTGGACTTCTTGCTATTGAAACGCCGGGTGGCCGTTGTAGCGTCTGATGGTTTCAACACGGGTGCGCATCAACTCCTTATGCGGCTCGCTCAGGAAGCGTGTAGATTCAAAATTATCAGGGAGCAGGAAGTAGACGAGAATGGCGACAGCTACGGTGGTGACGCCTTCGAGTATGAAGAGCCAGCGCCAGCCTTCGAGGCTGCTGATTCCGTCCATTTTAAGGAGCGCAAATGCGAAGAGACTACCCCCCGGCGCCGGGGAGAGCGGCTCAGCAGAGAGGTAAGCCATCCAAAGTGCTTGCTCTTCGCGGTTGTAGAAGGTGCTGAGGTAGGGTGAGAGGCAGTAGAACATGCCGTACTCGGAGAGGCCGAGGGAGAGGCATAGAATTGGCTGGCGCTCTCCATGAAGCCCGTGCAGATGATGGTTACGGCCCAGCAGAACATAAGAAGTGAAATTAGTCGCCTTGCGAAGAGTCAGTCATTGATGGTGTTGCGACGTCCTAGGTTAAACCTGCTCGGATGAAACTTCTTTATCAGAAGAATACATGGAATATCAAAGACAAGATATATGACGTAGAACAAGGTGACTGCATCTACCAAGCGATCCGAGAATGTAGTATCGTATAGCGTACAGACATTGCGTACTTCCCAGCTGGCCAGAATTCATGCCCAGGTCTTCTGTCACACCAGCATTAGCAAGCAGCCTTTCCAATATTTGCTCGATCAAGATATGTCGCGAGGGAATGATCGTAAACACAGGAGCGAGAGAACCATCGAGCTTGAAAAAGAGTTTCCTTTGCGCCACTGGTTCGAGGTAGAGCTACATTAAGTCCTCGAGATTCTCGGCATCAACTGGGATAGAGATTCAAATGTCCATGGCCATCGCTTCTTGGCTTTCTTTTAACGAGAAGAATGTCGGACAGAAGGTTCGGAAGATCAATACCGACATCGAATTCTAGTCAACTAGAACGCGGACACGGGATCCCGATATAGAGCAGAATAGTTCGGTACATAAACGCGTCGAACTCCAATCTTCCAAGAGCTACAGAGATGTGTTACGATAAAGCCGAATTGCACCTGATCGGTGATGACATCAACGCAGCAATGTAAAATCAGTAACAATTATCCATTTTGAGCATTGGAAAAGCTTGCAATCTTGAATTACGAATACGTACTTCAATTTTCTTTGAGTACATTTTTCGAGAGCGCAATTGATCACCTGGCTACGAGCCACGAAGTGTCGTTGTGCTCATCTGATACGGAGTAATATATTTCCGCACTCTCTTACCGGAATGCCGAAAGATTACGGTTAGCCAAAAGGAATGCGAAAAAAACAAAAAACAAAAAACAAAAAA